AAAAGAATATGAGAATATGACAAAAATAGAAGACTAAAAATTCAAAGAAAAACAGAAAGAAGTATTTACTTCTTTGACAAACTTGTAGTCATAGACGGTTCCTTTGCTTGGGAATGGACATAAGAATGGTCGTGGAGGTGGATCAACGATCTCTAGAATGTGATATTTACTCTTGGTTTCCAACGAAAGAGCACCCTTAAAAACAAAAATATGAAAATCATACATAAACAAGAGAAATGAACTGGTTGGTTCAAACTATGAACTTGTTCCTTATACATTCTTCATATCAGAGAAAAATTCCTTTGAATGTAGTAAAACTGACGGTATGGTAGTGTCACTTTTCACTCCTTTTCAAAAAATCACAAAAATCACAAACTGGAGGGAAATTTTGGACTGAATTAAAGATTTATAGAGGATTAGAGGGTTAAAATCTTTAATTTAGTCTAAGATCTTCCACAAGATATTGTTTTTTTATTTTAGTTCTTTGATGGAAGGTCGTTAAAATGCTAGTCGGCAAGCGAGACATCAGACTTCGAGTCGCACTTCAACGATAATGGTAGTAATACGAACAAGACAATTTCCTACCTCTATAATTTCACGTAAAACTTTATCGAAGGCTTTTCGCCCAGATGAATCAATGGTCGCTCCAAGAGACCAAGCACATGAGAACAGGAAGATGCACTAAATGATAAAAGCAAAGACATTGTTCAGCAATACCGCTTCGTGGTCAAACATGGTTCACATGGTGGCAGCTTAGAGCGCCTTTGAACAAGACGAATCTTCTGAGGTGCGACTTTCACATCTCAGCATCAATGCTGCGAGAAAGAATGAGTACCCCCTCTCAAAAAACCTACGTCACTGTCTTCCTTTGGGTATAAGCCCAACGTATACATGGTTTACATGCTGATAGATGGATTACTTTGGTGCTAGAGCCAAGTTTCTTGCTAAAATAATTCTTTAAATTCAAGTTAGCAAGACCGAATAGACTTACTTCTAGCCATGCAGCAACTTCTCGTTCATTGAGCTCCTTGAATCTTTGCTCATCGTGAAACTCGTCCATCAATGTGTCCATTAGCATCATGTGAGAGTAGACAAGGTTTGTATCATTGGTTGGTGAAAATTCCTATAAAATTAATAAACGAATTTCTAAAAACGAAAGTTCGAAAAGAAGTATTTTATTAGACATGTTTCGGCAATACAACTGTTATCATCTGTAGAAATCAAACTGAAAGAATTATTTTAATGCTGGCATCTTCCTATCTCAAAAAAAGGAAGAAAGGAAAGAGGGAGGGAGGGAGGGAGGGAAGAAAAAGAAAGGAAAGAAAGAGAATAACTCGTATGTATTATTGGTACCGTGATATTCAAACCAACCAACAAATCAAAATGTGGTCACAAGGCAAGGTTTTGGAAGCCATTTGAGTGAATGGGAGAACAAGATTTTGAAAGCCATTTGAGTGCCGCGTTATACTGCATGCACGTAAGGGTGACGCATAGATATATAGGATATTTGAATACCTTAAAGCCTCCTTTGCGAACGAACTGCAGCAACGCTTCTTCCATTCTATCAAACAGGTCTTTGATCAGTTCTTTATTTTCTTCGTTTAGAGTCTTTGGTAGAGTGTTGAGCCATGATGTTAACACCGGCTTCCATCCTAACATATGTGGTTCCATGTAAATCATACCACAACGACTTACCTAATAGATGGGTAAAAAGAGAAAGTAAGGTAATGCAACAAAGCGCTGTCTTGCAGCAAGTGCAGGGTGGGGAGTTTCGTAGCACTGAAATGGCTTCTCAATGTTTTAGTAAAATTTATATAAGGGTACAGTGTGGACAACCGTACCGCTTGGTCTCATCATGAGCAATGCACTCTAACGTACCAAAAATCCCCTTGGTCTCATCATGAGCAACGCACTCTTATGTATCGAAAATCAATGTCTTGTGTATCAGAGGAATTGGTTGAGCTAGTTGGCAAAACTTTTATTGTAGATTTGCGCCAAAAGTAGCATCAGACGCGACTCATGTTAAGCGCCTTTCTACAAAAGAGGAATATTGAACGCGAAATCCTTGTCGATAAAGAACTGAATAATGGAATGCCAACAGATAAACAAGCAAATCTAATTTGATATGAGCGATTAAAGCACTTACAGTGGCTGGAGAGGCTACTTCTAAATCCATGGGCTCGAAGATTAAGTTGGTGGTGTTTGCCAGCTGGATGATTTCTCCGCTGTTCAAGCAAAGCTACGAAAAAAGTGATCAAGACAATGAGATCATAGGGAAAAAAGAAGATTATGAAGTTAGAGATGTATGACAGCAACGAGAAAGTAGTGAGTAAAGAAATAACCTTTTTGTTGTCGTCCAGCACGGTGTTCATGTTCTCGATCCAGACCGCGTCGACTGGTCCGTCAAAGATCAGCCACTTACGGTCTGGTGTCTAAAAGAGAAATAGAAGAAGACTCGGTCAATGACAAAAACACGTACAAAAAAAWAAATAAATAAATAAATACGACAACAACAATGAAAGCAACAAAAGACATAAATTAGCAATAGTCCCCTTCACAGCTCCCTGCGCCATCTTGAAAGGAAGCCGTGCCTTTGCATCGAAGCGAGACGAACGGTGAGCATGCAATAATAGAGACCTTTTTTTTAACACCTTGGACAATTATTCACATGTCTCTACTATTGCAAGCTCACCGTTCGTCTCGCTTCGATGCAAAGGCACGGCTTCCTTTCAAGATGGCGCAGGTAACTGTGAAAGGGACTATTGAATTTTTTCCATTATTTCAGACAAACGTCTACTACTTCTTTAGACGATCTGAGTCTTTGTGTCTTGTGTGTATCATGGTTTTTTTATCTTTATTCAGGATGCCTATTTCCTTATAGGTTCTTTTAAATAGGGTCCTATTAGGTATTATCATCAGCATCATACACAATAACAACAAACAAAACAACGACGACGACGACGACAACAACAACAACTAAACTACGAGAAATGAGTTCTTACTGTAGATGAAGCGAATGCTCTGTAATTGACGGCTAATACACCATCAGACCACTCGTGAGATACTGGATCAAACTGTCCATACAACTGACCCATGGTTATGGACTTGGGGTTGATTACTACGATCTGTACTTTGTTTTCCTCCATCAAACCCTGAAAAATAAGGGATTTGAAGGACGGTCACAATGAATTGGGAGAGGAAAAAAACGATAGAACGATAAATGTTTACCTTTTCTGCGACATCACTCAGAGCTCGTGCCAGAACTCGGTAGCCACATGTCTTGCCACCAAATGGCTCTCCAACGATCATAAAACCATGACGTACGATCATCATCTCGTAGACCTAGAACGATGGCATAACAGGGGTTATTTTTGTTCAGGAATAATACAAATCCATTGATCGATGATTCTTTCCGTCGACTGGAGAAGGGGAGAAAAGGAAGGGGAAGGGAGTAGGAGAGGAGAGGAGAAGAGGAGAGGAAAGGACCTACCTGTAAGATCTTGGTAAGGAACTGTTCAGTCATTTGAAGGTTCATGGCTTTACAGTTCTCCTCGATGGCTGCTGTCAAGATGGTATAGTCAGGCTTAGGTAGTTTGACACCAGGGAACAGATCTGACGTGATACCCTGCAAATAGAAACCAATATCAATTCTGTACCCGTAAAAAAATAGAAGCATTTGATATTGAGTTAGGACAAGAAGAAGAAGACATTTGATACATGGTATGGAGATAATTTTGAACCCACTCCTGCAAAAGCATATATGCTGAGAAAAAGCAAGTCAACCTATGCTCTATAATTGACTTGCAAGTGTACCTTCCGTTACTTCTACTATGGAACTAAAGATCGAATGATTTCAGCTAAAAACTATGATAAAGCCCTGGCTAAACGAGGAAACATGTTTTCTTAAACGTTTCCAAAGGTGGCAAAACTGTCAGGAAACATCGGAAAAGATGTTTACTCAATATCGGTTAGCGCATGCGCACTTTCAAGATAGAGCTAGCGTTGCTAAGTAACGAACTTTTAGAATGTTGACTTTCGTGGCTAAATGAGGAAACATTGGGAAACATTGTTTCCATGCGTCTTGGAAGCATGAAATGTTTCTGCCGTACAGCAGAAACATTTTTGAGTCTTGGAAGCAAAATTTGTTGCACGTAGCAATGTTACGCATGTGGCTAAATTTGGAAACATCGGGGAACATGCGCGCGGTAAACATGTTTCTGGAAACTTGTTTCCTCGTTAAACCAGGGCCTAAATTAAAAGAAATATTCACATAGGAACAAAAGCGACATTATACTGCAACCATACAATCTCCAACAGTACCTCAAACAACGGCAAATCATGTGCCAAGAACTTGGGTAAGTTAACATCGTTAATGGATCGCAGCATCAATATGTCTTCATTCTCATCAGGGTATTTCAGCTGATAAGGAAATAAAAATACTTTAGGGAAAAGACAAAAAGCTTATAAAACACCGAGCTACTACGAAAGGGGAAGTATAGACCCCTTGCATTGATTTTATCCTTGCCCTGGGAGACAAAACAATAGGCAGCCTTTTCTTATGCAAAAAGAAACCAATTGTTTTGTCCCTCAGAACAATTCCTCTCGGGACTCAGTTAAAGGGGTCTATTGGTAATAATAGTAATTAATAATAATTCAATATTTCTATTGCGATGTTCCATTGGGAGATGCTCACATGCGCATTACAAATATTATATTACTGGTTTACAATAGGTGATATATAGTCTAAATATAGTCTAAATTCTGGAATATAAGGCAATGATTTACACTTCATCAAATTACTATCTTTATAGTTCAAGAAACTATACCAAATCATTGTTATGTACTACGATAAAGAGAATCTGGAATTTTTGTACAGTGTGAAGGTATGAAAAGACATATTTCACAATAAAAGTCAGATAATTTAATATGGGTTCAAGCGGCACTTGAAAATATGAAGTAATTATACTCAGAAAAATGAAGAAACAGCTTTAGTAATAGTATTTAGAAAGATTGCGAATGAGTAAAGAACTAACCTTGAGGTTCCCAGCAGCGGTCAATACAGACTTGACAGCTCTCATACCATAATCGTAATGAGCCTGCGATGATAACTGTTCTGAACATAACGTGTATGTAGTAACAATCTTGACGGCCAACGGTCGTGCCTAAAAATGAACCAAGCATCATTTCCAGATTAATATCTTTCTAGTATTACTGAATGATATTGGTAAGGAAAAGAAACTTACGTTAACGAATCCAAAGGAATAGAGCGAGATTTCCGCGATCAAGGCGTAATCTGGAACCATCATAGCTACAGTTCTGAATAATGCCTGATAAAGAAATAGAACAATATAATGAGTTGCTACAAAATGCAAAATAAAGCTAATTTACACTAAGGTCTTGGTTTTTGCTTCCCCTATTTCGGGGGGTGGGGAGTGATACTGCTTCCCATTCYCATAGATAATATGCTTTGTCGTCGCTGGCTTAAAATATTTTATTTTGAGAAGAAATAATATTCTTAACTAAGGATTGTTCTTCTTGACAACAATGTCTAGACTGGGAATCTTCTGGTTGTCACAACTCATCGGAAACAGACCTTTTGTTTTCGATAAACAGAATGCACTGTGGTCTAGCTTGCGGGGCAAACAACACTATATAAGGTACGATGAACAAATATGTTTGTATCCAAGCCAGACCACAATGCACTAAGTTGGCTTTCTCAAAAAGAGTCTAACATGAAGAAAGGTTTAAATTTGAAGAATTCCAAAGGATGGGTTGCATCAATATTACCTTAAGGTTGTCAGGTAATTCTGATCGACCTGCATATCCAGGATTCATGGTGATAAACACAGCACAACTGGGATCTAGTTTGATCTCTGTTCCTTCGAAAAGAAGTGTATCTCCTCCTGATTTGATACCTGATACAAAAACATCAAAAAAGAGTTGAAACCAAAGCTTCTTTTAAGAAAGAAAAAAGAAGTCAAAGTTAAAGTTACAGTAAAAGTATTCTTGGGGAGCATGTTACGTCATACAAAACAATTCTCATTAAGCTTCTCTCGTTAGATCATCCAACATGGCTGCTGTTTCATTGTTATTTATATCTCGAAGGGATTTTTCGGTCACATGGTTGCACTCCAAGAATAATCAAAACCACATTTACAGTGAGAGTTCTTGTAAACTCTAGAAAGGGGGAAGTAATCCAGGGGTGGGCTGCTGTGAAACGTGCAATAAATAAACCATAGAATTGTGCTACCAGTGTTTCGCATAACGTTTTTTAAGAGGAAAAATTCGAACAAAACTTAATAATATCCATTGCTGTTTTGTCTCCCTTATTTCCCTGCTTTTAGTATCCGTGGTTTTCAATCTTTTTCTGTGATCTTCATTCATTCTTTTGAGGGAAAATGAAGACGACTTACCCATTTGAATGGTGAGAATTTGCTGAGCGACGACAGACAAGACCTCAAGGTCAATACGATTGAACTCATCAAAACATGACCAAGCACCGCAAGAAGCCAAACCCTAGAAACAAGGATAAATAACAATGTAATGTGAGGGTCTGTCCATGTGGTCTAATTAAGAGCGCTGGTTTCTAGTCTCAACCTTTTTGGTAAGGGTGTAGTGATCTATCCTGTCAGACCACCACCAGGGGAGGGGGACAGGGGGCACGTGCCCTCCAAATGTTTGCTCTTGGTACCAAAATGTTAATTAATTTATGTGGGATTCCTGTGGACTTAGAGGTAAAATGGTACATTGCCCCCACCCCAATAATCGAGATCTCGCTATGTCCCTGTAGACCCCAAATCATTCCAATAAATTGCGTTTTTTTGTTTTTTTTGTTTTTGTTTATTTACAATAATATTTTAGCAGGATGCTTCTTTCCTATGTTGATTTTTAAGAAGGTCCTGTAGTATCATTGCTTTCTAACAAAGGCACTAGGACTTTATACTGAGAGCTGTGGTCTGATCCACATGTCTGGTGTCCCACTCATTTCGCGTGGGCCCCAGTATTACTAACAATTACCTTGAAGAACTTTCCAAGAGCGATGTAATCAAGGCCATCGGAGCAGTTGAACACCACACATTGCTTAGCAACAGCTTTAGCCAAGTCCTTGGTTGTCTCTGTCTTACCGGTCCCTGCAGGACCCTCAGGGGCACCCCCAAGATGAAGCTGAAGTGCACCGAATAAAGTCCTAGAGATAGAAATAAATAACACTGAGCATCAGGGTGGAGGGAGGGGGGTGGGGATCAACAACGTTCGGTAGATGTATAGAACGACGCTTGTCATTGGACAAATTTCTTCGTGGGAATGGGGAGACGGTATCCAACTTTGCAAATCCCCAAGCTCATTTTGACAATCTTCCAAGTTTTAACCTTGCAAGTCCACATCAGCATTCGGATTCCAGAACCTCGACTTGGGTCACCAAATAAAGGTTGTATATAAACCTTGAATACGCTTACCTGTAACATCTGTCTGTCAGGGGGGTGATGACCAACCTTCCAGAGTTACCGAGGTACTCATACCCGTAAGCCAACTGAGCACTGATCATCCTTGTAATAAGGTGTTCTTCCTGAAAAATGGCAGTGAACAACTTTGCATTAGCACTGACTTGACATGTATGTAGATAGAAAAACCATACAATATATTACCTCCCAGTAATAGCGCAGTTGTGCGAGCCATTCGAAGTCATCTTCAGACGTGATTCCTGTAAGAAAAACAGACAAAAATAAAACATAAAAAAGTCATTACCTCCACATGATTAGGGACGTAAGCTTGAAACTGATAATTTTTATAAAATAAATATTTAAAATATTCTAAATATTTATTTTTTTTATGGAAAAGATGCTGTACGCTACGCTATCTTATGAAGATATATAAAGATGATTCATAATGATAATACTAACGACGACAATTTTGATATTAATCTTGGTGACAATCATGAAGATTAAACAAAGAARATGTTGCTAATCCAAAATAACGCATGTAATAATTGATAAATGTTAGGGCAGTTTTCGCATGACTGTGAAAAACTCAGTGCCGTAAGCGTGCCGTGCCGTGACCTTGGCCGTGATGTTTCTAGAATTTTATGATTGATCTGACAGTGCCGTTACCTTGGCGTTGCCATGGCCTTGGCGTTGCCGTGACCTTGGCGTGACCGTGTCCACGCCGTGTTTATGCCATGTTCCGAGTATTTGATTGGGTGGAGAGTAATGTAAATGGTCTGGCATATGCCTTGTTGTGTCACGACCGTGCTCGTGCCGTGAGCTTTTCACAGTCATACGAAAAATGCTCTACAACACTGTTTTCACTATGGCGTTCTCTAAATACAAAAACAACTCGTCTCACCGCCGGTGAATTTCCTACTAATGACGCTTTCTTACCCATGTCACAAAGCTTTGACAACACATCTCTTGCATGGACGTCCAGTACGACTAACGCACCAAGAGTTGCACGATTTTGCTTGGACAATTTACCTCGCACCAGTTCTACAATATGATCGATTTGGTTGTTGTTTTGCTCAAGGTATGCCTCGATTTTCTGTGCAAAGGACAAAATTAGTCAGTTTTTTCAGTAACAAGATTTAGCAATATAACGCTGAGGTGCGTTTACTGAATACTAGACCACAAATTCTTTTCAGTCCACAAATTCTTTTCAACAAAAAATTCAATTTGCATCCGAACTCGCCAAACAGCTAATGTTGTAAAACTTGGTAGAAGAACGTACTCTACCACACTTGCAATAATGGCTAACTTTCTGTGTTCCAGTTTTCCGAATACTCGGCGTTACGACTGGTTAAAGGGATGATGCCATTCTTGTACTGCAATCCGATGCTATTCGAAGTTGTCCAAGGCCCTCTACTGTGCTAGACTTGTATGATGGGGAATATTTTGCAGTAAAATGTTCAATGGCTCATACCTGCTGTCCACCTCTGATAGACTGGTGAACTTCTTCAGTCCAGTATAACTGGGTAACGCATAGGACCGTCTGGCCAGGCCATGCGCGCACCCATTTGACTCGTTCTTCCTTGGGATAAGCCTCTTTGGCTTGGATGATGACCTGAACGCCAGACAGAATATAAAATGTTAATTATCGTTTAGAGGAAAACTAATCAAAGCGCGAAGGTTCATTGCTCAAGTTAAGGGGGTCGAGAACAATAGATTCGATGATGATGATGTTGGTCATGATGATTGTTATGATGATGATTGTTATGATGATGATGACGATGATGATAACGATGATGATGACGATGATTTTTATGATGATGATGATGACG